TATATGTGATAAGCAAGTAAATAAAAAAAATACCGTTACCCATTTTTGGAAGGTAAATGCAACATTTAAAACAAAAATTTCCCTATACTTATTACAGCTATTGTTTCTATCTTCCGTTATTGTTAGAATATGTATTTTGTGACGCAACCAATTTCTAGTTCCAAATTTTGTCACGAGAGGTCCTTTAATTATTTCTATTTCTTTTTGCACCAAATTTTGTACTTGTAATCTCAGAATAAATTGTACTCACCAAATATTCATTTTATTACGACAACCACGTACATTCTAACAGTCATTAAACTTATTTTGTTAAAATTTTCTCAAAATAATAGATTTTGTCTCTACTCCTATCTATGTTCGTCAGAAATATGCCGCCTAGCCAGACTATGCGCAAAAAGGGCGTCCTCACAAAACATTTTATCACATACGCGACGAAGACGACAACAGCGCCCGCCATTTTAGTAAGACCCGCGCATCATTCATTCATTAAGGAAATCTAAGTAGATTAATAATTTTCCTAAAGGTGTAGGGATCAAGTTATTATGGTTCAGGTTTAAGAAAGGATTATAGAAAGCGATTCATCCTTGTTTATTGTTTATGCGTGAAAGAGACGGAAGGATGCATCAATATTATGTTGATATGATTGACGTTAAGTTGCACTATTGATATTTATGAATTAGTAAATGAGCCTTTATAGAACTAGCTTTCGCTGTACCTTTATAGGAAGAGGCGTGACTCCAAACGTCGTATAAAATTGTATTTACACTGTAGTTACTCGTGACGACATTATTTTCATACAAATTAGACTGACATTTTGTCTATGACCCCTGGCATAAAAATGCGTATAGCATTCGATCGATCACTTCCAGGCAACACATAAAAATAATATAAAATAAAATAAGCTCAAGAAATTCAAAACTACAAAAGATATAGATATAATTTAAACAAAACCATGAACCATGATTTCTTATTTATGATGATACGATGTCGACAAGAAATACTTGTAGATAGATTTAAAGAAAGATAGAGAAGGAGCTAAACGAATAGAGACAGGAACTGAATTTCATAGCCATTCTCCATATAAGTTTGATGTGTTTAATGATGTGACATTCTTCTTACATGTCATAGATTCTTAAAAAAAACACTTGACAATCTTATAAAATGCGTTTGAAAATCTTTGACGTAAACCTGTCGTAGGTATGTAAAATATTAATTTGAAATGGTTCCATGTCTGTATTCACTTACGTGCATAAATAGAGTGAGCAATTATTTTTTAACAGCTATGTTCTCACAGCCCCACAATGGGGCAAAAAGGTATCCCACGATATGCAACTTTCGCCTGATTATCAATCGGGTCGTTTATATAACTATAATTGTAATTTCAGTGTACAGTCAGCAATAACACAGTGAATAGGTTACACATAATGCTTACCCTTAAACCAACTATTAAAAAAATATTTCTTTGTTTAACAGCCTTCATCTATGGATTAAAACCCGGATGTCTTTGACTTGATGCCTAACGAAATTATAATCGTATCCGTCCAAAAATGATATTTAAATATTATTCCAATCAGTACAATGTTCATTCAATTTAAATACGCAAAAAAAAGGCTACCAATATACAATCCTGATAACATTTAGGTACAATATTTTAAGAAGTAAAATTTGAAAAGTCAAAGTCAAAATCATTTATTCATATAGGTAGAACAATGTACACTAAAGCTGGCCATAGACGGACCGCATGTTGCAGTCGAGACCGACTGTTGTAGAGCGGTCATGAACGTCAAAAAAGAAATACATATTAAATGCTTCTAATTTTACATTTACTGCCAGTTCTCAAATCAAGGGCGTAGAACGTAAGAGAAGAACTGGCAATAAACTCTTCGCCATTTGTTTTTAATCGCCAAGTTTTTTGTTTCACACAATGTTTGTAATAAGCTGTAACCATTACACCATGTTCCACATGACGTCGTAAGTAATTAATAATTAATAAATAAATTAAAACATAGATTTGTCCTCTATCAGCAGGAGGCATGGTGAAATATAGGCACGCACTTACATTCTCGTGGGAAAAACACGCAAATTATAGTCGAAATAACTAACATCACCGCATACACGAATTCAAGTCCGACCAAAAGTAGCAGTGTTGGCCTAGGTAGTGGCTTCAACGTGCGACTCTCATCCCTGAGGTCGTAGGTTCGATCCCCGGCTGTGCACCATTGGACTTTCTTTATATGTGCGCATTTAACACTCGCTTGTACGATGAAGAAAACATCTTGAGTATTGGTCACCTACTTGCCTATTTAAATAATTATAGCATAGATAAAGCCATCTGAGCCCAGACCTAAAAGTTGGCCCCGATGGTGTAATTATGTCGCAGCCAACTAGCTTAATTCATTATCATCAATGGTTATATAGCCCCTTGAGGGCCTTAGCCTCCTCAATTACACTTCGCCATCGCAATCTATCTAGTGCTTCCCGCGTCCAATTGCGAACCCCTATTGTTTCGAGGTCCTTGACAACTCCATCCCACCAACGCAGCCTCGGTATACCGGGTTTTCTCTTGCCACCGGGTTGTGAGTTCAGTAAGTCGTTCGCCATTCGGTGCACATGTCCCAGCCACTTGAGCCTGTTGCACTTTAAGGATTCTCACGGAACAAACTAGCTTAATTAGCCGTTCAATTAACAGTCATTTACCTAGCCGTTTGATCAACTGGCTAAACATCTTTCAGGCCGCTAGTTAAATGGCGCCCCTGAGTTAAACGGCTAGGCTGTTGAATTGAACGGCTAATTAAGCTAGTTGGCTGCGACATAGATATATAGACGTGATTGGACCATACAAATATAATTTTTAAATAATTTAATATACTAACGACATACATTAGGACTATGGGACTTGTGTCTCATAGGAAGCAATGAAGGCCTCTAGAAAGGCTTTTACAAATAATTGATCAAGAAAAGCATGAAACTAACCCTAACTTCGAGCATTGGAATCTAGGCCCGACCAATGCATATTTCTTTCTATGTGAGCAAATGGCATGAATATGACTCTATTGTCTATAATATTGTTATTTAGGAATAGTGTAGGCTCAACAGGTTAAATAGTTAACATTCTGTTACCACATTAATCCAATTTAAATAATTCCTCTGATGCACAATTGATTTTGCCGACTATACAATTTGAAAAATACGGGTTTCAAGTGATAGTCCCGGATAGATTACAGGAGTAAAAGACATATTTAAAAAGGGATCCTATACAATACGATTTTACTCAAACTTCTACGTCATACTGCCGGTGTATAAATCCCGTCCCGAGGCAGTCAGGAATTAAGGTAAATTATCCATTAACAAAAGTGCATTTGGTAGTGGTCTGGATAGTTCTATTGTAGCATTTAAAATACTTCTAAAATCATATTTATATATTCTTTAAAAGCTGACCCTGCTATGAAAGATGTTGGAATGATATTAAAGTATTTTACATAATTTTATATGTATTGTTTAAATATCAGTTTGTGTGATAATATTGCTAAGACTGAAGGCCACATCTGGAAGGAAGGAATATGTGTGTAGGCCACATCAGTGCTTGAATTGCAGATATTTTATAAAACAAAATATTATTTAAAATTATTAAATAAATATATATATAATCGAATTAAAACCGTCCAGTGGTTTGACAAGTAAACTATGTATTGTTATTATTTATAATTAGTCACTACACTTTATACACAATTCAACCTTATAATGGCCGTACCATACTTAATTTCATAGATATTATTTATCTAAATCTTTTCTTCTTTCACAGATATTATCTCTTTTAGAAGGTTGGCGATCATACTGGCTACGTGTACCTAACCATGTACATATGTCAACGTTAACAAACAATCGAATACCGATTAAATACGAAATAAGATCACATGCTAATATAACTTCCTTCATAAACCATAAATATATGCAGACAGCTGACAGCTGGATACGTATATCTGTTGCTTAAGTTACTTAGTTACGTTTTCAAAGGTGTTAACACAATAGGATTTTCAATACTTTTACAAAAGAGGTTAACATCTCAGTTTTATAATGTTATACGAACAAGAATGGTTTGTAATTTCGTTTTAATTATATATAAAGATTACTGTATATAAATCTTCTGTGCATGTGTTTAATTTCAGTACATGTGTGAGGTTGGTTTATAATGAGATGATTTTTTTTGTGTGTACAGGACAACGTCTGTCGGGTCCGCTAATTTATCATAAAATAGAAACATGTGGAGCTTCAACGCTCGTTCTTATATTCAGATTTTGGCATGTTTCTTGATTTCTGTTAAACAAGTGACCAACTCTTTCTTCCTGACGTCACGCTGATTTTTGGGTCTGAGGCGTTACGATTTTTGTATCAGCATACGAGTGTTAAATTGGGCTCATATAATAAACAATGGAATAGATACAGAAATGAGACTGATATATTGAGCTACGAGATTTAATGCTACAATTGAATATGAAAAATCATTTGGATTTAGCATTTGTTCGTGTTATACCAAATTCTGTTGACACAAGGATTCGCGCGTTCGTAGATCGCCGTGTCGCCGTGTCGCCATTTTGAAGACCTATTTGCGATCTATACAATAATTTAACTAAACAAAATGTTACAAGTTTATAATAGATACTGCCATGAGTTCTGCAATGTAGAAATACCTTTTTAATTGAGTATTTAAATTAGATCGCTTTTGGTCATGATTATGTTTACATCCGCCGATTACCTAACAAGCGCTAACTATTCGTCGTATGCGCAGGAGTTGACGCTCATTAGCCAATACATACATAACAAAAATTATTTTTTTAACTAAAAATCTTAACTTGCTAATGTCGCATGACTTCTAATGAAAGAGTCCTTCAACGAATCGGGACAATACGAAAGTTTATGTAGACTGTTAAAATACGGAAAGTCGCACGTTTTGCGTCATAATTGATACAACTTGTCGCAGCTTATAGGAAAAATTCAAGGCAATGGACGGGCTGGAAGAAGTCGTGGTCGCGAAACGTGGACCGGCATCACATCCGCCGAGGACCTTTTTAGACTACTGCAAGATGCCCGGCAATTCGCTAACCCCTATAATATATAAGAGGTTGTTAACAACCTTTAGTAATAAAGTGGCTCCTGAAGAACAAGAACTTGCTAAACATAAGGGTTATTATGAAAAAAGTAATTATTTTGTGAAGCAGCTTAAAAAGCTAAAGCATACAGGCTCCGAATATGATTTTGTCCCATTCGGTGTCGAGACCCCTGGTCCTTGGGGTCCTAGCGCTATAAGGCTTTTTAAGGAAATAGCAAAATGGTTTTGACATCACAGTAGAGCGAAGAGCTGGAACCAACCTCGGACAAAGAATTAGTCTAGCTATTCAAAGGGGGAACGCTGCCAGTATCTTCGGAACCTTGCCTTAAGGGCACCTAACCTTGCCTTATTTTGGTTATTCAATTTTAAGGTTAGTTATTGTTTTGTTATTTATATTAATTAATGTAAAACATAAAGCCTTTCTAAGTACGACTTTAAAGCGTTACATACTCTTTATGCAACTGGTAGCGTACGCTACTACATTCAATACGGCTCAAAGATGTTCCATAATTCCTAAGTCACGTTCGAATCCTAAAATATTTTTTTGTTTATATGTTGAAGAGGTACTGTTATAACATAATCAAATAAATCACAATCGCTAAAACCTTTTTAGGTCTGGGATTCAGATTTCTGTTGGTACCTGTTTTATGATCATTTGTCAATCTAATAGGCAAATCAGTCTGTGCCTACCGAACGCCGTCGACTTTTTGGTTCTACGGCAAGCCGGTTTCCTCCAAAGTTTCTTCCAAAGAAAGTCCATTGGTGCAAAGCCGGGGATCGAATCTACGACCTCAGGGATGAGAGTCGCACGCTGAAGCCACTAGGCAAACACTGTACTCTTATCGCCATACATATTATATAGGTTTCTCAGAAAACGTGATATAATGTAATCAAAGTAAAATGTACAGTAGTTTTAAATTAACAAACCGTTGGTAATTCCTAGCGTAGAACCGTTAAGTATTAGAAGTTAGATTGCGCAGGTCGAACACTTTTGACCTTTATTAGCACCTGGTTTTTGCGATAAACGGAATCGAACTACATAACTCTGAACAAAATGTCAATGTTTCCGCTTTAATACTAGATTACTTGGGTATATTTCATAAAATCAGGACTGGGAAGGGCGTGGAGTCGTTTATTACATCAGAACAATTTCTGTTGTGCATTGTTGGGGTCTACAACAGGCTTTTCTATTAAAATAATTAATTTATGAAAGCTACACTATAGTGTTAGTAGTTAGTAAGAAAAGCCGCGAAATACAGAGTTGAAATAAATCATATTCATAAACTGTATGTAGTGCAATATTTTATGTCCTATTTTTTTCACCTTATTTTTATTAAAGTCTTTAGATTTAATACAAGAAATATAGTGTACACTAGTTAATGAGTACTACCAACAGTGAGTTCTTGTCTATTAGTGGAATTAGTTTTTAATATTTTGAAACAACAAAATGGACTATACCTACAGATAAGAGATGGGACCGATAGGTAATAGGACGACAAAAAAAAAGATGAATAGATGACGTAATAGAACTACTGAGGAAAAACTGGATGAAAGTTGCTCGAGACAAAGATGAAAGAGATTAGGAAAAATATGGAGGAGGCTTTTACCCTAAAAGCGGCTACAAATACAAATACTAAAATACTAGCAGAACTAACCTTAATTTTTAGAACTAAGGAACTAATAGTATTACTAAGAAATGTCAACTAAACATTTACTGTATAGATTAATTAATAAAGCATTATAATAAAATACCAAACTTTATAGGTACTGCTTACAAAATATTAATTAATCTATTTTTCATTAATGCCTGACTCGGCATAATAGAATAACAATAAATCAATCAATGAATTTAAGATTATATTGTTTTAATTTAATATTTTCATAATGAAAACTTAATATAACTAAGTATTAACAAAAACAACTTTATAAAATTAAAAATAATGATACTTTATTCCATTTCTGTTCCTATCACGGTTCACAGACTAACGTTATTGTGACTGCTCACGCTATTCTTAACATATTTTAAAGACATTTTCATACATGACATGACATAGACGTAATCCTGGGTGTATTTACGAACGATTAAAAAACTAAAAGAATAATAGTAATGTAGTGGGTGTTTCGTGTTGAAGTGAAAACGATTTTTTTAAATTTATTTGAAAAGTAAAATGTATAGCTCTTATCTATCTATCTATCGAAATAAAAATGAGTTGCAAAATATGTTGTTTAGTGCAAAAATATAATAATATATAGAATAAATAAAAATGTTCTCTGAGGAAGGAGCTGAGTAGTTTTTTTATGGAGAAAGAAAAATAAAATTAAGTTTTATTTAGTATATAGGTTTTTATTCCGTAAAAGCGAACAGTCTCTATAGAGTCGCATAGCAAAACGATCCATATGTTGGTATGTAGATACTAAAAAGGTAGACTAAGTAAAAAATCATATTAAGGTGAAACGATGTTCGCGGGGGCAGCTAGTAATTAATATTAAAGATTTTGTCAACCGTCGTGAATCATATTTGTGAGTAATTATGACTCGAGACACCTCAGAGAATATACGTCATAAATAATAAACCCATTCTGATACTTTAAACAATAGCTAGAAAAGTTATGAGAAAATATTGCTTTCTAGTCTAATTACTACACTTTGATATCAGGCTTTGCTTATTGTAAATGTATAGATGGTATAAATATGTATTTTTATTGAGTGAATCATCTAGTGGTTCCCGCGTCCAACTTCGAACCCCTATTATTTTGAAGTCATTGACAACTCCATCCCACCAACGCAGCCTCGGTATATCGGGTTTCCTCTTACCACCGGGTTTTGTGTTCAGTTATAATCTTGGAGTTCTGTCGTCCGCCATTCGGTGCACATGTCCCAACCACTTGAGCCTGTTGCACTTTATGAATGGCACGATGTTGGCGTCGTCAAGGATGATAAGTGAATGTTATTATGTTAGGCCCACAGGTTCTATTACCGCTAATTATTGTATAGTGAAGAAGAAAATGCGAAGGCAAAAGTAAGAATGTGATTGAATTCAATCAAGCATAAAAGAGTCGTTAGCAAATTTTTTTTTTAAAACATACCACTTAATATTTGTGTGCGTACTTGGTACAACTTTGACTTGCTGTCTGAGCGACAGAGGTTGGTATAAAAGTCCTTGTTTTTATACGAAGCTTGCAAGTTCACAATTATAAAACTCGTTCACATCTATGTAAATAAAACAATAATTAAATAATTTAAAAATCCCTTATAGCAAAAACTATTTTCTCACCCGAGCGTGGCAACCACAGATAATTAATAGAAAAAAACAACATTGTCTATGGTCCATTTAGTTTTTCACAAGGCGCGCAGTAATTATAAAAGTTCAATAACTTTTTGCTTGCATCGGTTAGACGTTTAGGTATTTATCTTCGTATCTATAAATAACGGTACGTCTTAACTAAAGCACGTAAGTTTTTTTATATAACAGTGGCCAAATGGGCAAGAGTCTTATCTAGTGATAAGTGATATTGTCGCCCATGGACATTCTCCATACCGGATGGATCGCGAATGCGTTGCCGGCCTTTAAAGTTGATCATAAAAAAATATTGCAATACATAATGAACCGTGACGAGGTCATTTCAAATAAAAGTTTCGATGGCGATTTCTCTGCGTCCGTATATTTAATCAATTGAAGAATTGAATTAAAGTAAATATTTGTCCTATTGGAAATGGGACGTTTTGAAATGTATAACTTAAGTTATATGTTGCTCTGAACGATTATTCGTAAACAAATATTGTCATGGTTCATTTTGGCGCAATCCTAAAGTATAAAAAATAATAATAATATATATCTTTATTTAAAAAAAAAGGCTGGAAAAAGTGAAAAAGATTTATAAACATTAGTTTTGAGGTAAGGCAATGAAAAGGCAAAGGCAACAAGGCAATGGTTTTCTGGCCTCGTCCAAAGGTACAATAAAGACAAAAAAAATCCAAATTTATGTAAGTATTATCGATTTATTTTCAACACTCAAATATACAGTATTTACAATATTTTTAACATACATAATAATAATAATAATTAAAAATGGATAAATAGAAAATTAAAACAAATTTAAAGTGTTTGGTCTTTGTGGTACCTTTAATGCTGGCAGCATTTCCTCGCTGTGATACTAATTCGATTTATTTTAAATTAATTTGTAGTTTACTTCTTTTTTTTTGTGCTTGTGTAACTGAACGCGTCCTTTTGGACGAGTCTGTTACAATAACTTTGCGCTGTGAAACCGTGCGGGTGAAACCGTGGTACCACATAATACCATTATTATACCAATACTAACAAATATTTAATCAATTATACAGTTAGGGTGTAAAGGGAATTAAAAGTTTTTTTATATAATTAACAGTAAACCGTTTAAATTAATATTAATGTAAATTTAGAATTAAATTAACATATTTTCTGTTGACGTTCATAAGTGTACTTATTTACCTATATGAGTAAAGTTATTTGTTGAGTTAAAGTTTATGTAATCCACCGTAATCCTTACTTATTTTTAACAAAACCGTATTTAAATATATTTCTGCCTGTTAGTTCATTGTGTAACGTAATCATATTATATTTAACTGTGATGTGTATATTTATCACTATGTCTACTAAAACAAAATAAATATTATGTATCTGTACCTATCACAGGAACATAATCATGTATTAAAAAATTAACAAAATACGAATATCGAATGTATCTATAAAAATTGTACTTGTATAGCGAAGGATAGCTTTTAAAATTTGCTAAAGTTATGATAGAGGTACTAAGCCCTTCGTACAAGAAGTGCGTAAAGTCGAATAGCTGTTATTATTTTTACTGATTGTGTCTACACTCACATATTGAAACATTACGATCTAGTTTAAGTCTAACCTAATTTACTATTAAGGATATAAGAAAGTGTCAAATAACAATACTTACAGTCTCCATTCAGGGCAAGACACTCTGTTCTTGAGTTCTATTTTTTTACTTCTGTTACGCACTTAAGACTAACGTGCACTAACACTAATTAAAATTTCAGGTTTCATAATTTTCAATTTTCTCACTAGGTCAAGAAGTTGAATAGCCTCGAGAATCACATGATGGTGGAGCTTTTTTTCGTGGGCTCCGATGGAGGTCGTTATTGCCAATGTACCAGGGAGCATTGACTATTCCCCTGAGCACTTTGTTTTGGAATCGTTGGATTATTTGAATGGCTCTTACTGGT